AAATATTATTTTTATATTTTAGTTAATTTATATGATTTATTAAATATTAATAATAAATAAATAATATAGAAAATATATAAAATAAAAACCGAAAACTATATGAACTTTTTATTTTGGTGTTATTTTAATCGATTTGACTAAAAAATTATTATTATTTTCCTTTATAACATTGTCATACATGTCGTTTGTTCTTTTGTTTATATTTATCAAGTAAACGGTTCATGATGATTAAATGAGAAACAAGATGAGTTAGAGAAAATAAATACAACAAAAACTGTTGTCTATCAAATTTTATATTATTGTTTTTGAAGTATTATATTATAATTATATTTAGAATAAAATTATAATGTTTACTAAAACAAATTAGATATAAGATCATTACTATCTATACTATTTTATAAACCAGATTATCAAAAGTTTTAAAAACAAGTTTTAATGCACAAAGCACTGTACATTTATGCACAAAGTCTTAAAAGTTTTAAAAACATCTCATAATGCATTAAGTACCACTATTTTATGCATTGAATCTTAAAATCTTTTAATCTACAAATAAAATAATATATAGTACAAGTTACCAATGCACATTACCTTTTCTTTTCATATTCTCAATATACTTTTGACATCTTTCACTTATGCCTTCACCCTCTCATACCTCTATATTTTCTTCCACCATCTCCAAGATGAGATTCAAACTGATATTCACTGAGTTATTAAAAGTTCTCTCATTCATCTCTAATTCAATTGTTCTAGAACTCTCGATCTCGCTCTCTTGATTCTTTGTTCTTAGTGTAAATCGAACACATTTGTGRAGTCGTTTAAATATGTTGGATTTTAAATATATTGGATTTTAAACCATAATACAATTTTTTTCATCTTAATTGAAACTATAACTCTTATTTATTCAAATTGTATTAATATATAAAGACCAAGTGTAACTTATATTATCGTTAAATCTTCTCTAATAAAACCAGTGAAATTTTAAAATAGTTAAAATTCACGGCTCCCACACATTACGCAGATACACAACTAGTACTCATAAATTTATGTTTTATTTATATGTTTGATTTGAGACTTAACAATATTATCTATCTATAGTTCAAAATGTATTTTATTACCATTTATCTGTAACCTGTTTTTTATTGGGGAGTGTATGAATATGGATAAGAGTATTTTTAAATGGATAATTAGCCGTTAAGACTTCATCTATCCATTCCTTATTATTACAAGCAAACTGTAATTAATCAACTCTTTTTTATTTACTGAAACTAATACTAATTAATTATCAAAGATTTATTTTGAAGAAAAAAGAAGAGTTGAGGTTTTGAACCGGATGTTTTCCCAAAACCCAATTCCTACCAGCCAACATACAGAAGCAAACACCTTACTTCCGATCCAACCAGCCACCAAACACCAAACACCCTGTTCAAATCATGGCTAAACCATCTTCTTCGCTGCTCTTTTCATGGTGACCAAATGTACAGCTTGGCTTGGCTTGGGCTAAAGCCACTATTCACTGGATAACGAACAATTCACACGCCCGTACCCTATTGTCTTTTACCCGGTAAAAGATCACCGAGTCGCTCCTTAATATGTCACTCACCAAGTAGAGACTTTGTTTTTATCGGTAAGCAATTGCTACAAAATACTTGGTAAACAATCATTTTCATTCAACATGTACCCGATTTGTGTTTGGACACTCGTTGGTTGCTAAATCAATCTAAGGGGCGTTTACCCAAATGCTTACCCGATAAGTGCTTACCGATAGGATTCAACATTATAATTTATTTTGATATGTAAGATTTTAGTACATCAAAAACATATCGAATGCAACAAGTTACTGGGTAAGACTCTCTATCATTTTCATCACTCTTACCCGGTAAGATTCTTGGCCCTTGTCAAAGACCTTCCAGCCTAGCGGTAAAGGCTTGGGCATGACATAGGGGCTGTTTACCAAATTTTCTATTAAGTCCTGTATGGATAAATTTGTCTGTCTAGATAAATTTGTCTGTCTGGATAAATTTATGTTGTTGTTTACTTTTCTATCTGAAACAACAGTCTGAATAACAGAAATGACTAATTTACCCCTATCTGCCTTATTTCCAATTTCATTCCTTTTTGATCCTTATGTATAATATCTAAAACAATCAGACCAAAAATTTACGAATTTTGGATGGGCTATTTATCTTGTAAAGCTGAATCCACTATTGCTGTTCATAATCCATCCAAGAAATCTGATAAAATCCATGGAAATGAAGATTTGATCCACAAGAAAATTCAACACTTTGACTACAGCGATTTGGAAGCAGCCACCAATAATTTCTCCGACCAGAAACTCCTCGGTCGTGGTCGTCTCGTCGCCGTCAAAAAACCCTCACACCAAAACAACCACCATTCCGCCCTATCCGCCGTGCCGGAGAATGAAGTTGAAAACGAAATCGACATCCTTTCCAAACTCCATAGCCCTCGTCTCGTTAACTTTTCACAAACACCCCACATCAGAATCTGGCCGGAGAATGAAGTTGAAAACGAAATCGACATCCTTTCCAAACTCCATAGCCCTCGTCTCGTTAACTTTTCACAAACACCCCACATCAGAATCTGGCCGGAGAATGAAGTTGAAAACGAAATAGACATCCTTTCCAGTTAAATCCTCTCTTTGGATCGATGGAGAAGAGAGAGGTGCTGTTGGTGGATAAGGGTAGGGCAAGTCTTTTGGCCGGCTTAATCTGGACAAGGAAGGATTTTCATCTGGGCGAATAAGCCCATTTCTGAGCGAATAAGCCCGAGGTAAACAGCCTATTTTGTCTGTGCGAATAAGCCATTTTATCCACTAAGCTCATTAAGCCTCAAGTAAACAGGCCCATAGTCATGAACCCGAGTTCAAGCCCTAGGAGGGGAGTGTTGGCAACATTTAAGTGGGGTCATGTTTAGCCTCCAAATTTGCTGGGGATTAGTCGGGCTTTGGCCCGGACACCCTTACAAAAAAAAAAATCCAATGAGAAAATTTATGCGTTAAGCACTTACCAAGTAAGTGTTTAGTAAACGGCCCCTAACTCTAACCCAAATGATGCCCCCAAAGACTTTGTGGGTCCAAACTTTCTAAGAAAAAATTTAAATCTGGTTCTCAACACCACGGTATAACACAAGTTGTTCCATGTAAATACCTGCAATAACTATCAATCCTAACAATCAATCGATGAGCTACTCATGTTGGTTGAAACTCTATAAATGTAAACATCGAACGAGATGTAATTCAGAGATCATGGTAGGGGCATCAGTTTAGATAATTACTAAGAAAGTTACTGTCACTAACAGATAAATTATAGGTAAAAGAGATTCCAGTACGTAGTATAGTATACGGTAAATAAGTTCACTTAGAAGTATCGACACATAGGATAACACGTGACTATTCAATACAAAGGCATTATGTACATGAAAATATGACAACAATTAATTAGCATGCATCACCGTGTGTAGTCTAAATCAACTTTGTTTACACAGATGCTATAACTCAAAGAGATTCAGCAAACATACCCATCTTGAAGTGAGGTCTTTACATGACTTCTAACAACTGCCCTTCATCATAGCTCCGAATTTTTTCCTGTTAAAGATAACAAAGCTGATTAACATCGAGAAAAACGTGCATCAGATTGGAAAAGAAAGGCACAAAAAGGCCTTGAATGAACCCAATTATCAACAGACGGAGGTCGGTTTGCCTATTGAACTTATTTTATGATGACATGCATAACTTTGAGGACTTAGAAGTAAAGCATTCCTGAAACAAACCAACAAGCTCTGGTTTGGACCTCATCCCCTACTTGGGTGTTAAGAATGGAGGTGGATAGGTTCGAGCCACATTAATGGTAGCTGCCTTCTAACCCAATAAGTAAAAGTAAATTCACCATTTGAGAAAGGAAGAAGTCAGCATCATTGATTGATAGATATCATAGTCATTCTAACAGATATATTCTTTCATGCCATGGGGATAAAGGTCCAAAGTGGAGATTATTTCCCTCAAGATCGAGTAGTCCTTCCAACCAAACAACCCTCCTGTGACATGCTTGATGTCGCAAGAAAGAATCTTATTGTATCAAAAGTATGTCCAAGAAAATATGTACTCCCTAGGCCAATTATCAGAAACGAATATATAATATTAGAGCCATTGTTGAAACTGGAAAATTGACTGGGCTGTTCTCAAGTTATCACCAATTAATATCAAGATCTTGAACTACAGGGTGGCAATTAGCTGTTGGTAGTGTATAAAGAAGCCGTAAAAATGAAAACTAATGCTGTGCAAGATTCAAGGGAACGGTTATAATGCAAGTGATAAAAGACTCTCATTCAAGCAAAGAAAAATGGCCAACTGAAAAATTGGTTTGCATGTGTTCAAAAGTCGATGAAATATGAAAAATCCAAGAGATTAGTGACCAGTCTAGGACCTTTTCCTCTCACCCAAGCACATAGATTTCTCCAAGTCTCCATTTAAACCATATTTATATTGCAAGGGGTAATATTACTTTCCTATAATACTTGTATGATTTGTTATCGTACAGCTTCTAGTCATCACAAAATTTAAGCAAGCAGTCAAGGGATTCTTATGATCATCTCTTCTGAAACTTACATGCTAACCCGTTTACAACTTAAGAGTAGCTTTTGAACAACAAGATTCCTAGAACAAATCTATGAGTAATCAGGTGAACTCTAAACCTATCAAGGTAGTTATAAGTACCAAAAAAAGTTTTGTTTTGTGATTCTCTATCATTCCATCTTTGTTCCCTAAATTTTAAGCAACCATCCGAAGGATGAAACAGGAGTTTGACATGAATCATCATCTTATGAGCCAGGTCAGTTCAGAATGCATAAACGCACAGGATTATGAAATTTTTGAGCATGACCCTTCTTGTAACTTCAGTGACAAAATATAGCATGGGCTGATAACCAACGTGACCACAACTAACTGGGATGCAAATGAACTGCTTAAAGACATAGAAGCATTTGGATATCATCCAAGCCCCACCAGAAAGGTATAAGGCTTAAAAGGTCTAGAAAAAGCAAAAGTATAGCAACTTGTGAACCAAAAGCTTCAAAGAAAACATTGCTGCATATGAACCGAGCTTAAAGCTTCCAATATTTCAGAAGAGACTAAAGGTGATACATCTAGCCAAGCGATTCGGCATATATCCTCCCATCATTTAGATATACAGATTATTGTAAGTTTTGACCTTGTCTTTACAATCACTAGTGTTATTTCTAGAACATAGCTAGCTAGCAGTCTAGCACCTAACATGGTTTATATATGTATATGAGCAGAGGAAATATGAAGATGACCTATAAGTAGTAGCTTAATCTTGAATTTTTGGGTCATCATCCAAGCAGCTTAATACAAATTTACCCAACAAAAACCCATGATATTCATCATCACCAAATTTGGTCTGTCACCAAAGAGTAGAAAAGACTTTTTAAGTAAAACTAATTAAGTTATTTCCCCTACTTTAGTAACCAAGAAATGCTTAACACCGAGCACAAAGACAACATTTTTACGTGAAATTGAGCTAAATATCATCAGAAATCGAAACTTGATATGATGATAACAATTGATTAACGGGGTAGTGTTTTTACCTGGACTCAACGAAGCTTTAGCGGACGGCCTCTTCTTCTTCTTCTTCTTCATTTTCTCAAGCTCAAGTTGAGTTTCCATAAACATATTCAACCTCTGAAACTCGAGTTCCCTGGTGAATTCCATTCTCTGCTTCTCTAACTTCATCATCTCTTCCTGCTTTGAATCCTCTATCCTCTTATAAACCTCACCAAACCTAAGAATCGCCCTCGCCAATTCCTTATAACCCGTCGTTTCCTCTGCAAAATCTAGACTTTCCATCCTGCTAAGACTTTCGTCGTGAGACGACGATCCACCAGAGTACGCGATGGCTTTGAAATTAGGGTTAGGGTTAAGATTTGGTTTGGGGTTCGATTTAGCAGTCAGAGTGACAGATGCCGATTTCGGGGTGCTAACTTTCTTCCTGGTGACGCTGTTAGCAGCTCCGATCAGATCATCAAGACGATGAAAAAACGGCCATTTCGACGGCGTCGGCTTCGATTTCTCAAGCTTGTACTTCTTCTTCAATGTATCGATTCGGTTCTTACACTGGACATCCGTCCGTGGAGGCTTCAATTCGTCACGATTGGCGTTAACCGCGTGAGCCACATCCTTCCAGTCCTTCTGACGGAGATTACCACGGTTGAGTTGAAGGTAGCGATCACCCCATGACTCGATCAACGTCTCGGTGCCGGCTTCACTCCAGCAGTCCTCTCTTCCGCCGCCTCCACCGTGGTGCCGGGTGGTCTGGTTGTTAGTGTCCATGGATCCGATGGTAAAGTGGCAGATTGTCAAGGGAAGAAAGGTACGCCGGAGGTGATGGGGAGGAGGATATGAGATGGACGAAAAAACATCGGAGGAATGTGGAAAGTGAGACTGAGAAGTGAGGGGAAGAAGAGAGGATGGCCGTTCATCTGACCGGAGATTTAACGGTCAACGGTTATTGGGTGGGTTGGACGGAAAACGGGAAAAGTGTGGAATTTCACCCTTTCTTTTCTAAAACAGCCTTTTACCTCTCCTTTGTTTTTTACCTCTCTTTTTCACCTTAAAACTACTATTTTTTTCATCAATTTTCAAAAAAAAATATTATTTATTTAAAAATTGAGTTTTATATCTTAAAAATTATTAGTTTAAAAAAAAATACAAATATTAAAACATCATGTATCTATACTATATTATAAATTATTTGACAAAAACTCTTAAAAGCTATTTTTTATACGTGAAATATTTTTTATTGATATATATTACTTAAAATTCAAGATTACAAGTAAATAATATATAAGTATAACTTATTGAAACTTCATACTTGAATTTGTGTAACTAACGACAGATAAACATAATCAAATATTGGATAAACATTTCATTTCAAATATAAAAAATCTGAAATATAATCAGGATAATCATTATCTTCTAACAGAATATTTAATTATTATCTTTATAAAAATTTATATTATTAAATAAAAAATAAATTATTTTCTTATTAAATCTAAATTATATTATAATAAAAAATGTTGAATTAAAGAAATTACACAACAAAATAAGATTTTTTTAAATAGTTAATTTGATACTAATATCGATATTTTTTTTTAATTCAAATTTATATTTTCTTCAAAATTAAAAAACATTATTGTTTTTCTCAAAACCACATAAAATCGTATTTATAACATCGACAAGAGGACAGAATAAAAAGAAACATTAAAATTGAGGTGTGTCTCGCTGTATTGAGCGAATACCCTTCTAGTAAAATTAATAAAGTACACATCGATGATAATCACTCCAGATCAAACTTACATAATTAAAAAAATCCTTGAAAATCATCCAAAAAAACCTATAAAACCTCTCAATCTAGCGGGATTTCACATTTGCAATCCATCGTAAAGATGTACCTGCATGGCAAAAATCATGGTCTGCTATTGTGAATCGATCAGGTTTTGAAAACTCACATATTTACCTCAATTTAGAAAAATCTAAATTGTTTTAGATATAATTACTCATAAGTAAACAAATAATCAAAAATAAATATTTTATTCTCTTTAAACGAGAACACATTTATTTTATCAAAATAACCATAATTAACCAGTAATATGGTTTCTTTTTTATGTAAATTTTATGCAAAAATCAATTGTAATGTAGTGATTATTTATTTCCAAAATAGGCATAAAACATCCATTGTCAAAGTAGCAAGTACAATCAATATAAAGAGTCAACGATCTCAACATCATATCATGAGTTGCAACGGAAATTAAAATTACATTGTTGGGATTTATTACAGAATTTAAACTCAAGTCTAAGGCAACTATCCAACTTCACGCGTCAAGGATCAGACATTCCCCTTGTCTTTGCTAGGGTTCTCGACACGATACCTTCCTGAAAAGGTTCTCAGTTTAAAAAAAAAAAAAAAAGAGTTAGGCCGGAGATCTAGTGAATTCCCTCTATCAGAAGAGTTCACACTATGAATAATATCTTTAAACATAATTGAAATCAGCAATTAAACACACTTGAATAGTTAGACGTACTGACACATGTTGCAAAGGTTGAATACACATATGGTCATGTACACCGGTTACCAACCACTGGATCACACCTAGGGGTGTGCAACAGGCGGGGCGAGTGGGTTCGGGCGGACAAATCAAAAACCCGATCGGATTTTGGATATGGAAATCACGCCCCGGTTTTTGGGTTTCGGATTTCGGATTGCTTCGGGTTCGAATTGTTCGGGTTTCGTTATAATGCAATATATATATATATATATATATATATAATCGATTTTGAGGGTGAATTCAATCGATTTACAGTATTGATAAATCAATAGTATGCTTAGAAATCAGAAAAGAACACGACCGACTACGATGTTTAGAATTTTCAAAAGATAATTAGATAAGTAAATATATTTATATAGTATATCTATACTATATTATAAAGCATCTGACAAAAACTCTTAAAAATCATTTTTTATGCATGTAGTATTGTTTATTGATGCATATTACTTAAAATTCAAGATTACAAGTAAATTGTGCATAAATACAACTTATTCAAGCTCTATGTTTGAATTCGTGTAACTAATTGCGGATAAACATAATCAAATAAAGGATAAACATCTCATTTTAAAATAAAGAAAAACTATAATATAATTAGGATAATTATTAAGTTCTAACAGAATACTTAATTATTATATTTATAAAAAATATATTATTAAACCTAAATCAAGTTAAGTTAAATTATAATAAAAAATTTGAATTAAAAAAATATACAAACAAAAACTTTTAAGTAGTTAATTTTGATATTAATATTGATATATTTTTTGTAAATTTTATATGATATTTTCAAATTTATATTTTATTCAAAAATAAAACATTATCGTTTTCTTAAAATCACATAAAATCGTATTATATTGACATGAATAAAAAACAAAACAAAACATTGAAATGAAAATGTGTCTCGATGAATTGCACGAATACCCTTCTAAGTAAAATATATATGTATATATATATTTTTCAGATTGGTTCGGGTTCAAGTTTTTTAATACAGCCTTTGGACAAAAAAATTCTAGAACAATGACACAAATTTCTCTTAAGACGTTTTGGGTGTCCGGACACCAAATGTGCCACTCTCCATATCCCACCAAAACAAAGCATCCAATTGCAACATGGTTATGGCACATATCACTTTATCTCCCTCCGTGCACTTGCTAGTATCGAAGATCTCTTCCATCCCTCAAACGCAACATATGGCTAACAACGAATCTTGCTCACCCTTGTACATAGGTGGTTTGCATGACAATGACATCTTATAGTTGCATCCCTTCGATCCCACGGTAGGACCAACTATTACTTTACTTAGGTTCCTCACTCATCTCTTCTCCTTCGGACTCGTCATTTCAGAAGATTAACGGTTTCCCAGCAAGACTTGTAGGGTAGCATGCAACTTACCAATCTCAGCTGGTAGATCCTCCTTAGTCACAAATGTCTGATCTTGAGCTTGGCCTCTAACTCTAGCACACCCCTACCTCGACCACTAACTGAGCTCCCTTGATTCGACCCGAATGACTCAACTCGTTACCCAGGGATCATTCCACGCCCACACCCACACTCCTTCTTTGACCTTGGGCTCTAGTTTTAAAAGCACCAACTAACACCGCTACCCCACATAGTCCACGACCCCATCCTCGTCCATTCCCAGGAGTATAAACAGCACCCTTGGGCTCTATTGATTCAGTTAATGTAGCCATAATACGACGATTTGCTCCATTGTGTGTCACCGAAACAGACCTTCCTAACTGACGAGATATCCTTCCAAAATCTAAAATCATACATTAACATCATCAATAACCAGTTAAATCATAAACAAGTTATGCACACACGCACATGTGTACCTGTAAAATTCACAAATATATATTGGCCATATGTGATTTTGAATTTTCCTTACATGTTAGTCATTTCATGCCTCAAGACTCGCACCTTCCCTTTGCCCTTGCTAAAGCTCTCGACATGATACCTTCCTCAGAAGGTTTTCAGTTTTATAAAAGCGAGTTAGATCCGAGGTCTAGTACATGTCCTCTATCACAACGAATTCATGCTGTAAATAATAACGTAAAACATAATTGAAATCAACAATTAATCATACTTGAATGGTAAGACACACCAACACATGTTGCAAAGGTTGAACACACTTATGGTCACGCACATCTGTGACCAACCACAGGCTCACACCTACCCGTAAGATGAGATATATTAAACGAATTCATGTGCTCCATTCAGGTATACACCTCCCATTGTTCAAGACACCATTTGGAACACACTCACACAAAGAATACACACTTGGAAATAACCAATTATTGAGTATGTGGAACTCATAATATGAATTCAAGATAAATAGCAATCTCAACATGGAAGGCAAGTATTCATTTACCCAAAATAGCAAGAGGAGACTCAACTGGAGTGCAAACCCTATATTATATATATATATATATATATATATATATATATATATATATATATCTGTAAATGTCATTTGTTTATTTTGTTTTAATCAAAAAAAAAAAAAAAAACTAAACTAACATATATTTGTTAATGTAGGGAATATGATTGTAGTAACAAAATATTATTTTATTCTCGTATTAATTGCAATGCATTTCATTCCCGACATTAGCTTATATGTAACGAGTACTTTTTGTTACAATAAAATAGAATATTTAAGCCTTTTTTATTTTTTAGAATAAACATTTTTGGTCCTTACGGTATGTCAATAATTTTGGATTGCATAATCGTGTTTCATTTTTTCACATCGACAGTCAGATCATCTTCGATGAAAGGTTCTTATAAGAAAAAAAATATAGGTTCTTAAAAAAACCATTATTAGAGAAAGTTCTTATAAGAACCTCAAATCCTTCGAGAACTTGTACAATAACCTTTTAACTTTTGGAGAGTGACATTTTGTTAGTTCTTCTTTATATATTTCATTGATTTTATAATGATTTATCTATGTTGAAAAAAATACATAAAACCCAGAAAAAGGTTCTTATAAGAACTATTATTGTAACCTTTTACTTGTGTTCTTAACTTGATGAAGTGGAACTGATATGACAAGAAAATTGTAAAAAAATGAACCCAAGTGGAGATGCTCATAGTTTGCAAATCTTTACAAATTCAACATTTCATTATAACGACTGGTTTTAGTAACCCTGTAGTTTGCATCTTGTTACGGTTGTCTCATACTCTACTACCTATTGGGTATCCGCACATTCTAAGCAAGGGGCATTTTGATCTATTTCAATATTTTTAAATAAAAAATTAAAAGTATTTATTTGGTCGCAAAAAATACTCAGGAACTTAATTATTTAAAATGTAAATCATGTTTTTAGTTCTTGTGGTTTGTTAAAAACTGTGATTTTCGTCTTGTGGTTTTTAGAATCATTATGGGGATTCTAACGAGTGTTTGAAACCTCTTATCATTTAAACTCCATCAAAGTCCTTGGTTCAGGGTTTAGCGGGGTTCAACAGGCCTCACTGTTATTTTATCTCTACTAAGAAGCCAACTTTTAGTTTCTATGCCATCGTCAAGTTGTTGTTAGGGAACGCTTTCCACGAAGGAACTTAGAAGTAGACCAAGAGGGAGCATACGTTGAGAAATAGAACGGGCAAAAAAGTGTCCTCTCGAAAGAAGAATTGCCCCGCTCTCTAGCCGACTGATCACGTTGATCAATAGCAAAGAGGGAGCACAAGTTGAGGAATGAAAGGGGCTAAAAAGTGTCCCCTCGAAAGAAGAATTGCCCTCCACCTGACTGATCAAGTTTGATCAACTGCAATTTCCGTTCGTATGGTTTGTAATTTATTGTTATTTTCGTACTTATAATTTACAATTTATTGTTGTTTGTACAGGACAAAAATCACAATTTTAAAACCACGGACGAAAATCAAAATCAAAATTATTAACAAACCGCGTATCTAAATTATACAAATACATTAGGTTTTTTTCCAACTAGAGACTGTTTGGCAATTGCTGAATGGTTTGATGCAGAATGATTAAGTGGTCAGAATAATTAAGAGACTCTCATAATATAGTGCAAAATGAAATATAATTATTTGATATTGTGTACAATGAAATTAGGACTCTTAATGGTTAAGGAAGATCCATGATACAAAATCATTCAGAAGGTTTTAGAACCATTAAGAGGCAAAAAATTTTTATCAAACAAGATTCATTTCTTAACGATTCAGAGATTTTCTCTTATTGAAACTATTAAGAGGTAAACAAACAACCCCTAAACATCGGGTAAACCAAGAACTTGTGACCAAAAATAACATCCAAAATGTCACACTTGTTTTGAAATCTTAAAAAAATCCTTCAATTTTTCACCCATTTCTAAGTCCCTTTTTACCATTTCCTCTAATACATATTTGGCTTCATCCATTTTTTTTACACTTATCAAACGGCTCGCCAATAACCCAAAATTATGAGTGTCCAATTTTTTGTCTTTACCTCCATATCCCATCACTAACTTCACCGCCTGCGCACAATAGCCTAACCTCACCAGATTTCCTATAACGTGCGCATACGTCGAGTGCATTGCCTCTACTCCATCATCCAACATCCTCCTCAGAATCGCTATCGCCCCATCCATCTTCTCCATCTTACACGCGCCCAGCACCAGCGCGTCGTAAGTCCTCGCGTCTGCTTTCACCCCTTCCTCCGCCATCTTCTTCAGAACGTCGACGCTCGATCTCAGGTCGCCGGTGATAGAGTACGATGTTAACATATGGTTGTAACAGGTAACATCACGCGCTATGCCTTTCGTTTTCATGATCTCCAACACGCGCCACGCTTCGTCGAAGTTCTTCTGCCGCGAGAGCAGGCTGAGGATCGGATAAAAAGTGCAAGCGTCGGCGCCGTATTTTCCACGGATAAGCTCCTCCGCCACTCGCAGAGCCGAGTCGATGAGCTGCATCTTGCAGAGCCGAACGATGAGCGAATCATACGCGCTCTTGCGACAGTATCCTTCTCTGAGATCTGGTAGGGTTTTCAGGAGGTCGTCGAGAACAGAGAGGTCCGTTGAAATGAAGTTGAATGTGTTGGTGGTGTTAAACAAACCGTTTGCATAACGTTGATTAAGGAGGTTGCGGATGGTAACGAAGTCTCGTTCGCGGCCGGCAGTGGTGATTAGGTCGTCGTACGCAGCCGAGGTGGATGGTTCAGGGAGTTGGCCGGTGGTGATTAACCGGTGGAGTGCGGTGAAGACAGATGGTTGTTTTAGGGTTTTGCGGAGTGCAAACATGATTTAATTTCAAAGGGTTTTTGCTGATAGCAGTGGTTTTGTTTTTTAGAGATTCAGAGAAAAATGAAGTTTGGTAGGCTTAAGGCCCAACAAGGTTTCCCATATTGGGCCTGGAGTAAGCCCATAACTGAAAGTCCAAATAAAATTCATAGTATAATTCATAGTACCAACTACCAACTAGTGATGGCCAAAAATGGGAACTGGGCCGGGCCGGACTGGTCTCAATTGGCCGGAACTGGGCCGGGTCGGACTGGTCTCAATCGGGCCTTACGACGTGCATAACCGGTGATAAGCGGTCCTAATGTAACCAACGGTCCCATAACAAGTCCTCACCGGGCCGGGCCGGGTCGGTTCGGCCATCACTAGTACCAACGCAATCTTTAGCAGATCATCTTTCTGTGACTTTGTTAGTGGTTTTATGGGTATTTCACAATGAAGATGAGTTATTACAATACCAAAAACAAAATTATGTAATTAAGTTATATAATTTTAACATTTGTCGAGTTCGTCCCGACAAAAAATCTTGAAGTTTTGATTTTAACGAGACAGATTTTTCAAATCAATAACACACAAATTATATTCATCCCAATCACGTTTTAGAGATTATAACCATATTTCTTCTTCCAAAAGAAAACCATGTTCTTAAATTTAAAAAAAATAGAAAAGTCTGTATGTATCAAGACATCGTTATTGTTTTCTCTTATAATAAAAACCCTGATCATAAATAAGAAAAAGGTCAACTAATTGCATAACCAATATTTTGAAAAGTCAACCTAATAAGAAAATCGATAATTTTATTAAATATTATATTTATTTCAGTACAAAATTAAACCACAAGGGTTGTGACTGAGTGGTCGAGGTTTATAAAAATGTGGTGGAGTATGTTGTGACTACTAAATTAATCAGGACTGATATCTTACAGCAACAAATTATTGAAATATAATTTGAAACAACCTTTTAAAGAAGAAATTATTAATTATTTTCTAGAAATCTAAAAGTCAAATGATTAAATGATCAAATATCTAAAACGTAACAAGGTGTTAATTAAACTTGTAATATTGTCATTCAAATGATTTGATATGTATTATTAGATTCTAAAAGATTTGGTTACACCATTTTCAAAATAAACAACCAATTCATTATTTCATTAAATAATTAAAATGTCCTCACTTTGATTGTTTTGCACATAGTTTTTGTAAATTGATCCAAGTTGTATGTTTGCTATATGTAAGAGGCTGTTTATTAAATACTTATCTGGTAAGCATTTACTGGTAGGAGTCAATACTATAATTTATTTTATCGGGTAAGATTGTAGTACATCAAAACGACTTCGTATGCAACAATTTACTCGATAAGGGCTTACTTAGGATAGCGTTCAAATCATCTGAAATTGTGATATTTTTTATAAGTAACGTGACATTGAAATTTATAGGAGTATTACACATGTTAATTACAAACCAACGAAAGAAGAAACCTAAAAGAGCAATCTTACTTATCTCATTTGATGTGATTTTATCGGTGACGATATAAAGTTAAATGTATTCCAAAATGTATAGCTTCATTTATCCGGTTGATCGGATTAATTTTATTATTATATACATGGTTTGTCTTATAAATAATGAATCTATAAATAACCAAAATTTGATCTCAAAACCGTTACCTTTTTTATCTTTTTAAAAAAGATATTCCTCATTAGTTGGTCCCCCTCGGTGCCACCAACTCCACAATGGATGATTTATATCGAACGTCTTTTCTATTGGATCATTATCAGTGGAATTAAAGCTTGTAAGATTTGATAACACATTGCACCATGCTCGATCTCACTCAATGTGGATTTTGTGAAACAATTTTACTGCTTATATGTCGTTTAATTAACAGTTCAAGTAATTTTTTTTCACTTTAATTTCAAGTATTTTATCAGTCGTCTTGTCAATAACATCTTTGGATGTTATAAGTAATACCTTTGGCTGATCTGCGAGGGATTTTTTCCCTCACTGATATTCGTCGTTGATACCTAGTTTTCTAGTAATGGGAGGGGATCATGCGAAGACTCGGTCAACTTACAAGAAGTGCAATAAGGGTTAAATCACATGCAATATTACATGTCTAGAATGTGCGATTGGTCAATGCGACCAAGGTCGTGCGAAAATTCGCACGTGCAGAGGTTGGTCTGCTCGACGTGTGTCACATGTGATTTATTCTATAATCACATATTATTTGGCTTTTCTCGTAAATTGATCGTCTCGTATAAACTCACTTCCCCCTCTCTCTCTCTTTATATATATATATATATATATATATATATATATATATATGTTTGATGGATATATAAAAATGAAATTGTTATTGGAACATGCAATTTATAGATCAAAATAAGCATTTTGGTGCTAAATTTAATAAAATGATTTTCTAATTCCATAAATATATGTATATTATAATTTTTATAAACTAAAATATCAAATTTATATATAACTAACCACAAGGGTGGTGGCTGATTGGTTTGAGCTTGGCTCCAAAGGTCAAAAGTACCAGGAGGTCCTAGTTTCAAATCTAAGGAGGAATAAAAAACCTCTTGTAGCCACAGAGGTTCAAATACGGTGACTTCGGGCTATTTGCAAAGCAGGTGATCGTCCTGGGATCAGTCGACTCACATAACGGGTTGGATATTTAGGTTAATAAAAAAAAATTATATATAATTATAACTATAGATGGAAAGGGAGTGACCACGTGATGAAGTAGGTATCAACTATGGAGTTCATACTCATCACTTATTGCTCTTTTCACTATATTTAGAAGGCTTTTTAGAGGTAAGAATGATTCTGAGATCATCATATGCCAATGTTGGCCCCCGTGTATGATGGTTATCATGGTTTGTAAAAACGTTTGAATTTGATCATTTCATTTAACGATTATAAGAAAATCTGTTAAATGGGAAATATTTTCGTTCTTTTATCAATTTTTTTGTCTTTTACTCAATCAATAACCATAGGGACCAAATTCATAAAATCGGTTTTAGGTGGGTAAAAGATAAAAAATCGAAAAAATAACGAAACCGCTCATTATTTTACAAAAAAATTTAATGGTCGTTAGAAGGAGAAACCAAATATGAACCTTTTTTCAAGCCACGACAGTTATCTTGTATGAATGAAAAATGTTACTTTCAACGAACACATTTGTAGTTTTTTCTTGATGTTAAGTTATCATTAATTAGAGTTGTCATGCTCTGACCCGATGGGAAACCCGACTCACCCGATTCGAACGGGGACGAGGATTCCCCGCTGAAACCGGTCCTGGGGCCGAGGATCCCTGGTAGACTCAAACCGGGGTTGGGGGCTGTTACTCAAACTGAGGTTGGGGTCAGGGATCCCCGGTAAACTCAAACTAACGAATATTCTTCATGAGGTTTGACCAGAGTTTGATAGGGGTTTGAATGGAGAAAGGATGTTAATCCCCGTACCCGCTTGGGACCGGGGCCGGAGTCAAAGATTGTTACTGAAAACTGGGGTCGAGACTATAGATTACAAAATCCGTTCCATCCCGCCCCCGTTGCATGCCATGCCTAAACATTTTCATTTCATTTACAAAATTATATAAATAAAGAAATGTGAATACTTATGATGATAAGTATTGTTTGCGTTTTATAAAGCTTTTAAGTGAAAAGAATGAAAGAGACGTGAAAATTCCATGTGGATCAAAGGGAAAAAGTAGGTAAAAGAAAGCCATCATTTCCGTGCATGGGAATAGTTTCAAAAATCATTATTTACGAATATATCTTATCCTTTTCAACCCTCAAATCCACGTGATTTTCCATTATTTTACTTACAATTCTATTATTATTTTTACTGTTACTGATACTGTTATTGTTACTGGGTAGGAGGATTTCAAGGTTTTGATGTGGGTTTTCACCATTACCGTATCTTGTCAGGACTGCCTAATTTATTTATCTGTGTCGAAGAAAGCTACAATTTTTATCTTCTGTTAAAATATGTGAAATAAAAAAAAAACTCGTGAAGATGGGATAAAATTAGTATACTGGAAAACTATCTGTATCAAATTAAAATCTTAACTGTTCCACAGTTTTCTTCACTTGCCTGCCTTACGTATAGTCCAGTTCCGTATGCATATCAAACACACTTTAATAGGTTATAGGCAAGGCTTGGAGTGTTGCTACTATTGCAAACTATATTCACTAATGCTTGAACTCATGACCTTCTCTTCCTCAAACAATACGCTTACTGTTATTCAGTGTCTTTTTCATATAAGCAAAACGATGACATTTTTTGCGGTTACATTGGGATAAAGAAGTGGTAGCACATGCTACGTTATACATTAAGCTAGGTCCGGCCTTGTTTGGCGGTATCCTACGGGTAAGAATTTACGAGTCTGGCCAATCTTATTGTTGAAAATGATAAATATGATAATTATTAAAAATACAAAAGTTGAAAATAGAAGAGTTAAATGAGGATTATAAAATATAAGTTTGAATATTTATGGAAGATTATCATAGTTTATTCATTATAACTAGTTTTGAATTCTTAACAAAAATTGCATGTGTGTGTGTGTGTGTATATATATATATATATAGAGAGAGAGAGCGAGAGAGAGAGGGAATTTCAAATACAAACCATGTCAATGATACAAACTTTACAAACCTGATCTATTTTGAAATTTAGAGGCGGTTATAAAATCAGTTAAAAATGTAATTGAGAGTAAATTTAAAAATTGTGTAAAGTTCGTAATATGATTTGTATTTGAAACTACCCCTCTCGCTCTTTCTCCCTCTCTCTCACCATGTGTATATATATAGGTGAAAGATCATGTGGGAAAGAGAGGTAAAGTGAAAAGCGTAAAAGGAGATTTGTACTCTTGATCACCTTTAGTCTTAAGCTCACCCATAAATCGTGCTTCATACACGGATTGATCCGGTGCATCTTGGTGTATCTTATCCTAATTGTCCATCCAAGGGGGTAGGTCTATTCTTACACTTCTTATCTTAATTGTCCTTCTCATCGGAACCCGACCCTATACACACACACGAAGAATCGTGTGAGAATAAAACTTAAGATGAGAAGTGTAAGAATGAATTTGGACTCTTGATCACTTTTAATCTCAAACAAACTTATGAATTACG